CTCTAACCTCAGCCATTGCCTCCAGCTTAGAGTTTTTTGCTGTGATTATGAGATTCTGTTTTTTTTACCCATAAACATTTCAGCATATATCTTTAAACCATGGTCATGATATAGCCAGGCGTAGTAGCCCATGCCTTTAATTCCAGTTAGTGGCACATTAGTTTGGGCAATATATGCTTAAGGCCACACTGGGCAACATAATGAGACCCTGTCTCAAAAAATACACCATTATTATGCTTAAAAATTAATAATTGTTTAATATCACCAAATACCATGCTATGATTTCATATACTGTCTCATAATTTTTTTGAGTTTGTTAGAATTAGTATCTAGTTACTAGCTTCAATTAATTGATATTTTTTTAAAAATCCATAGTTTTCCTTCTCCCATACCTTTTATCACTGTGTAATTTATATACGGGGGAAAATCTTATTAGTAATAAATTTTGCGGAGTTCTAAATGATATAAAATTTCTGTTGCAAACTTGTATGGGGAGTAAGGTTTCCTAAGGCCTGCAGTCTCTACTGAGTGCCAGGGTTCAAGATGGGCAAGCCGCACAGTTGGAGAGTAGCCGCTGAGAATATCCCATGCTCTCAAGTGTTAGTTCAAGCCCAGGCAACCATGGTATAGTTTGAGGGGAAAAAAAGAAAGGGAGCTGGGAGGGAGGGAAAGAAAGGAGAGAAAAGAGAGGCGAGGAAAGGCAGGCAGACCAGCCTTGTTGGCAGAAGAGCTTCCCTGTTGTGACCAGCACAGGCTGTTGTACTTTACTCTTGGTCTCTCAGAACAGATGGAGGTGTGTGTGCTTTGTCAGCAGGCACTGAGAAGGACTCGGGAATTGGAGCCATCCTGGTGACTGCACTGTTTCCTCCTTGAGAACTCTGGAGGAGCTATAGAGCGGTTTTTAGTTAGACGGTGACGTCATGCCCTTTGTAAAGACTCCACTGGCTGCAGTGGGCAGCAGACTAATTATGGATGGCTGCAGTAATCTGGGAAAGAAAGATTAAGAGCTGACCCAGGGCATTCTAAAGAACACCAGGAATACACGTACGGGAGGCTCATTAGAAAGTAGAATTGCTGGGACTTGGCGTCTGGTTTGATGATATGAAGAGAAAGGCAGAGTGGAAGAGATTCCCAGGTTTCTGACAAGAGTAGGATAACGGGCAGGTTTTCTCCTGGAGTAATGTTGATAAGAGGCAGGACTTTTACTTTTTGGGCTTGTTTAAATCACAATGCCTTGGGAACATTGAATATATTCAGGAGACAGTTGGATAGAAGCATTTCTTTCAGGAGAAAGATCTGGGAGTCATGTTGTGGGGGGCCCTGCACTGTTCTAAAGACACGGGCCAGGAGGGCCGCTTCCTTAGAGTAGATCTGCTCTGCGCCGTGCACCATAATACCACCTGTGAATCTCTCCATCTATGCTGCACATGTATGTGTGCGTGCCTGCATGTATGTTATACCACCACATGCATGCCATGTGCTGCCCTCAGAGCCAAAAGAAGACATCAGATTCCCCAGAACTTGAGTTATAGGCGGTTTTGAACCTCTGTGTGGGTCCTAGGAGCCAACACAGGTTTTTTGCAAGAATAACAAATGTTCTTAACCTCTTGGCCATCTGTCCAGCCCCTATATTTTTATGATTATTAAAATTGTTTAATAATTCTTCAATAATTGCTAACATTTTGAATATAAAGTAACAATTTTGAGATAAGAGTTTGTTGAACTTTTTAAATTATATATTTTAATGTACTTTATAAATTATTTATAATAAAGTAAAATAAAACAAACACATTTTAATATGTCTATTTTCCCTTTAGTATCTGTAATTCTATAACTTGCTTGCCTCCATGGTAATTCATTTATGCTTTTATACATATTTTATGTATAGTAATAATAATTTCTAGTTTGCCTACATTTTTAATAATCTTCAATAATTAATACTTTAGACACATCCAAGTTATCTTAAATTATTAGTTTGGGTAGTATATTTTAATAATTGGGTAGATTTTATGGTTAACAGTTACTTACGATAATTATAAACTATTTTCACGGAAAAGATAGTTAGAATTAACAGTGCTGGCTTCGGCCTCTTAGTGTCTTAGCAGTCTCTGCAGACACCTGAGAACCTTGGGTCTTCACTGCCTGGCTTTCCCACTGCTTTCCTCCCCCCACTCCCACCCCTGCCCCACTTAGGTGATGTCAGCTTTGAGGATGCTTCCCATTGCTTCTCTCCAAGCTGCTGCAGTTAAGAGCTTGGGCCACCATTGCTCTGCTGTATCCCGAAAGAGAGTGATGAGTCAGTTGTTCTGTGGTTGTAAATTGGGTGGGTGTTCTTGACATGAACTTTGCAGAGAGAGAGAATTATGGGAATTGGTTCCCTCCTTCCACCATGTGAGATCCAGGGATCAAATTCAGGTTTTAGGCTTGGCAGCCATCACCTTTATCTACTTAGCTGTCTCATTGGCCCCCAGCTCTGTATTTCAGTCCTTAAAGGTTCTCTTTGGTATTTCATTTTAGTAAAACATCGCACTGATAAGACTTATCAGGTCATCTAATGCATTATGCATTTCTCCTTACCCTTGGCTTAGCTTACACCATTCCTCTGGGTATAAATAATTCTTATGGTTAGCCAGGTGGTGGTGGTGGTGGTGGTGGTGGTGGTGGTGGTGGTGGTGGTGGTGGTGCACGCCTTTAATCCCAGCACTCAGGAGGCAGAGCCAGGCAGATCTCTGTGAAT